ACCAATACTTTGCTTCAGTCTTTAATGAGGTTAATGAAGATCTTGGGGATAATGGCAACATAACAAATGGGGATAAGGATGTGGAGGTAGATATTACCATATCCGAGGTAAAAGCCAAACTTGAACAGCTTAATGGGAGTAAATCGGGGGGCCAAGATAATCTTCATCTAAGAATATTAAAGGAACTGGCACATGAAATTGCAAGTCCATTAGCAAAAATGTTTAATAAATTTCTAAACTCAGGGGTTGTACCATTTGACTGGAGAATTGCTAATATAGTTCCTATTTTTAAGAAAGGAAAAAAAAAGGGACCCAGGTAACTAAAGGCCTGTTAGTTTGACATCTGGGCTACGTCTACACTGGCCCCTTTTCTGAAAGGGGCATGGTAATTTCAGAGATCGTAATAGGGAAATCCGTTGGGGATTTAAATATCCCCCGCGGCATTTAAATAAAAATGTCCGCCGCTTTTTTCCGGCTTTTAGAAAAGCCGGAAAAGAGCGTCTGCACTGGCCCCGATCCTCCGGAAAAAGCGCCCTTTTCCGGAGGATCTTATTCCTACTTTGACGAGCCCCCAGAAAAGGGCGCTTTTTCCAGAGGATCGGGGCCAGTGTAGACGCTCTTTTCCGGCTTTTCTAAAAGCCGGAAAAAAGCGGCGGACATTTTTATTTAAATGCCGCGGGGGATATTTAAATCCCCCGCGGATTTCCCTATTACGATCTCTGAAATTAACATGCCCCTTCTGGAAAAGGGGCCAATGTAGACGAGCCCTGTATGATTCAGTTGATTATTTGCTTTTCCTCTTTGAGAGGTGGATAAGCAACTGGTTAAAGGGGAGACTACAGCGAGTCATACTGAAAGGTGAACAGTCAGGTTGGAGGGAGGTTACTAGAGGAGTTCCTCAGGGATCAGTTTTAGGACTAATCTTATTTAATCTTTTTATTACTGACCTCGGCACTAAAAGTGTGGGAGTGTGCTAATAAAGTTTGCAGATGACACAAAGTTGGGAGGTATTGCCAATTCAGAAAAGGATCGGGATATCATACAGGAAGATCTGGATGATCTTGTAAATTGGAGTAATAGCAATAGGATGAAATTTAATAATGAGAAGTGTAAGGTTATGCATTTAGGGATTAATAACAGGAATTTTAGTTATAAGCTGGGGACACATTAGTTGGAAGTAATGGAAGAAGAGAAGGACCTCAGAGTCCTGGTTGATCACAGGATGACTACGAACTGCCATTGTGACATGGCCGTGAAAAAGGCTAATATGGTCTTGGGATGCATTAGGCGAGGTATTTCAGAAATAAGCAGCAGAAATAAGAAGGTGGTAGTGCCGTTATACAAGGCATTGGTGAGATCTCATTTGGAATATTGTGTGCAGTTCGAGTCTCCCATGTTTAAGAAGGATGAATTCAAACTGGATCAGGTACAAAGAAGGGCCACTAGGATGATCCGAGGAATGGAAAACCTGTCTTATGAAAGGAGACTCAAGGAGCTTGGCTTGTTTACCTTAACCATAAGCAGTCTGAGGGGAGGCATGATTGCTCTCTTTAAATATATTAGAGGAATAAATACCAAGGAGGGAGAGGAATTATTTAAGCTTAATACCAATGTGGGCACAAGAACAAATGGATATAAACTGGCTATTAGGAAGTTTAGACTCTAAATTAGATGAAGGTTTCTAACCATTAGAGGAGTGAAATTCTGGAACAGCCTTCCAAGGGAAGTAGTGGGGGCAAAAGACCTATCTGGCTTCAAGATTAAGCTAGATGGGTTTATGAAGGGAATGGTTTGATGGGATAACATGATCTTGGCAACTAATTGACCTTTCACTATCAGTGGTAAATCAGTGGGATGATAGGAGTTACTATAGAGAACTTTTTCCTGGGTGTCTGGCTGGTAAGTCTTGCCCACATGCTCAGGCTTCAGCTGATCACCATATTTGGGGTCAAGAAGGAATTTTCCTCCAGGGTAGATTGGCAGAGGCCCTGGAGGTTTTTCGCCTTCCTCTGTATCATAGGATACGGATCACTTACTGGAGGATTCTCTGCATCTTGGGGTCCTTAAACCATTTGAGGACTTCAATATCTGAGATATAGGTGAGAGGATTATTCTAGGAGAGGGTGGCTGAGATTCTGTGGCCTGCATTGTGCAGGGGGTCAGACTAGATGATCATAATGGTCCCTTCTGACCTTGAAGTCTGAGTCTATGAGTTAGTTCCCAAAGAATTTCCTTTTGGGCCCCAGTTTATAAAGTGAAACCTGAGTCCTGCTTAGCTAGTCTGTAACCAATTATTTTAGTATAATTTTACAAATCAATCATAACCTATATTACCAGAATTACCTAACCAATCATACCTCACCACCTTAGTGGATTTACACCTAACAAAATTAATTATACAGCAGGCAGAAATTAAAAAAAACAGAGACCATACAGAGAAACAATAGGAAAGTGAGGACCACAATGATAAAAAGAGGACTCCACATCCTCAACTATTGGTAAATAATTTCTTGCCAGACAAAATGCTGTCACACTAAGTTTTCTTTACCCATCTTGAGATCTGTTTCTTTATCTAGTGCCAGTGGGTGCCATTAGAACAGGGTCTTCTGCTTAACAGCCTGATGTGACAACTATTTTAATTCAATTTAGATGGGATGTGAGTATGCAACTCCAAGCTTTACACCTAATGGCTGCTGCTCTTCAATTTGGCTTCACAGGAAGGCTTTAGGCATTCCAATATGGCTACAGGTCTTCCAATATGGCTATAGAAAAAACATATTGTTACATATCTACAGTGCTCTAGCATGCTACATGCTAACTGGCCCTGTGGACACTGCTACCATGTACAAAAAGTTCCATAGTTCTCTTTGACCTATTTATGTCTTCAAACAGCAGTAGGTCATAGTTCACTAGAGAATGTTCAATGTACAGTTGCTATGTCCGCACTGCAACTTATTAGATGATATGATAGTGTGCTATAGATTTATACCCCGGTTAGTCATGCACTAACTCTACATGTGCATAAGTCCTCAGTAGTCAGTGTTTTAAATTGGGGATTCTCAGGACAAATTATTTGGTGGTCTCAGTTTGGAGCCACCAACTCTCGCTGATGGCCTCTCACATTTTCCTACAATACGTAAGTAATGGTAGGCAATAGACATAAATATACACATATACTCATCCAAATCATTGTAATTTTTTGTTTACTGCTAGCTACTAAGTCTGTTGTAAAAAAGATGATATTAGCAAACATACAAGTATCATTTTCATAGCAGACTTACTCAGCCCCAGCAAGCCTGTGGACAAATTAAGCCTTAGATTGAAGGTGAGGAAAGTGGGGTTTGGAGATGGGGCAGTAGGACTGAGTGGCCAGGAAAGATGATGAGGCAGGAGTTTGATGCCTGGCAGCCAGGTGAGGGGATCTGGAGCTGAAACAGAACACACAGCTAGAGCATGTGTCTGCAACCCAAAGCCCCACATCCCAAAGCCTGAGCACCCTTCCCCCGGTAGGCGGGGAACTGACTGGCTGCCTGATTCTTCAGCATTGTGCCCCTCTGGCAGCCCCAGCAACCAATGCGAAGGCAGTGCATCCATGGAGGGAGCTGCTTCTTTTCCCTTCCCAATGAAATCACAGCCCAACAGGCTGTGGCTGCAAGAAAAGCCCTTGGTGGTCACATGTAAGAAAAATTGTTTTAAACTCAAGCCAATATACTCAGAGGAGGATATACATTGAACACCTTTCCCCTACCAATATTTCAGTCATGTTACTTCCCAGTGATCACAGATAAGGCTATGTGAATCCTAAATCTTTCAGTGTCCGCTTGCAAGGACACAGATATTCTGGAGAATGACTTGCAACCACCACTTTTCCTTAATGTCCCTTTCAACTACCACCTATCCTTAATGTTAGCTTAAATGTTGACAGGGGACTTGCAACCTGGCCCCTTCCTCTTTTCTGAGACAGAGGCCTCCTCTGCATATAAAGAACAGAAGAACGGGTGATATTGCATTTAACTTCCCTGATTCATTCAGGGGCTTCTGAAGCAGGGGAAGTTATTGCAGGGGTGCCAACCGACTTGCTGGGCCTCTGATCAAGGAAGAGCAATCTTCAGTCCTGGAAGGGGCTGAGCTGGGGAAGCCAGCTTTTGGCACTGCCTGGAGTGTGTTACAGTGGGCCCCCTGCATTCCCAGGCAGCCCTCAGAGTCATGAGAGCCTGCTGCGTGGCACTTCAGTGGTGATTTAAAGGGCCCCAGGGCTTCAGCAACCACTGCTGCAGTGGCAGTGGCAGCAGCGAGGAGGCCTGGGCCCTTTTGAATCACTGGGTCCCTTGGCAACTGCTCCCCATTGGCAAGCCTGAGGTGTTGAGATGTGCCCTCCATCACACACCATTAGGTAGAGACATTGTAGAAACATTTCAATTTTCACTACCAGTAGAAGACAGTATAAATGGAAATGTCACTAAGAAAAAGTCAACAGTCCGTAATATTGTTTCTATGAGTTTCCCCAGGTTTCAGCAGCATCAGTGCATGTTCATTACTCTGTATAAATCTGAATAGCATGTTATGGATGCAAGGAAAACGGGACTCATCATGATTTCACATGGGTCTTTAGTTCTTTGCAAATCTTTCACACTGCCTTATTCAAAGTCAAGTTGATAGTTGACAAAGGGTAGTGGAATTTTAATCATTTATCCAAACAACAATTTATAAACTCAGTAATGGTCACTTAAAGTAAATATCAACATGTGAAAGTATTGTCCTGACAAATTAGAGAATGTTTTCCTTTCAGAGGTAAAACTGTGGATTTGATTTATTTTACCTTGTCCGCTTGTTGTTTAATAAATGTTTTTTTCTCATACAAAATTTGAAAAAAAGAATTTGTGACCCCATTTATGTCACCATGCATACAGAATGAGATTAAATTTTGAGAAGGTCAGTGGTATTTTTGTAATGAACCATAAGAAAATAATATTTTAAATTTGATTATGTTTATTTTAAAGATTGCTCCCACATCCGACAATGATTTTGGGCGATACAACTGCACAGCAACCAACAGAATAGGAACAAGGTATCAGGAATATACCCTTGGGCAAGCTGGTGAGTACATTGTGTTTAAGTTTTCTATACCCATATTTTTCTATTTCACCAATGCAAATTATGATTGGACTTTTTTCATTTACTTAATTCCACTGGAGCTTTTAGAACTGTCTTTTTTAGTTTTCTTAAAATGTGACATTGTATAAGTAAAACAAATGTGTTCTCACAAAAATAAGATCTCCCCAAAACTTTGCCCTGAACCTTAAAAAATTACTAAAATTTGAGAAAATGCTGCTAACATTTTAAAACAATGGATCTGATTCTTCTTTCTCTTAGGTGTGTCTAGACTGCAGGGTTTTGTTGACAAAAGTGGACTTTTGTTGACAAAACTATACCTGCATCTACACTACCGTTAAGTTCTGTTGACACTTTTGTTGATGCCGGTAAACCTCATTTTACGAGGCATAATGCCTTTGTCGACAGAGTTCTGTTGACAAAAAGGGCAGTCTGGACGCGGGGGTTTCTTTTTTTTAACAGAAAAAGATCTCCAAGGTAACCCCCTTCTGGACAGTCCTTCTTCAGGAAAAACCTCTTGTTCCTGTCTGTAGCCATGTTTTAAAGGCACAGATATCCCTGGCAGGCATTCTGACAGGAAGCTGGCCACAGACCAACACAGTAAGCATACGGCTCTCCCAGCTTCACTTGCACGTGGCCATGTGTGCAGCTCCAGAGCCACGAGGCCCATAAGGACCTTCGAGGGAGCCAGCCCAAGTTCCCTCAGGTGAGAAAAAGAGAGCCCCAGCCTGGTCAGAGCCAGAGGTCCTGACACTACTCAAACTGTGCGGGGGGAGGAAGCAGTCCAGGCCCTGCACACCCAGCGCAGGAACGCCAGGATTTATGGCCGCATGGCTCAGGGGCTGGCCAATAAAGGGAACCATCCCAGGATACTGCAACAGGTCCGGGCCAAAGTTAAAGAGCTTTGGCAGGGCTACGTGAAGGCCCGAGAGCTGAACTCAGCATCAGGTGCAGCCCTGGTACACTGCACCTATTATAATGAACTGGACCACATCCTGGGAGGCCAGGAACCTATGTGTGCACCGGTGCTCATCCAGACAGGGTTGCACACACCGGTGCAGCAGGGCCAGCAGGAGGTCCTCAGGGAAAATGTGGAGGAAGAGGAGGAAGAGGAACAGACAGAGGACACCCAGACCCTGACTCTGCAGCCTGTCCTGGAGACCCAGGAAGCCTCACAGGCATCCTTGGACGCTGGCGAAGGAACCTCAGGTGAGTGCAGTCAGGGTCTGACACAGAACAAGGGAGGTGGGAGCAGAGAAAATGCAGAGCAACCTGCACGTCTTGGTCCTCCTGGACAGCTTGCATCTCTCTGTGCATGTGCAAGCAGGGAGGCAGGTGGGGGGTATGTGGGTGGGGGCCATGGGAGACCCAAGGTGCTGCAGGCCCCTGTCCCACTGTGGCTGCACACTTATCTGGCCTGGACGGCCATGGTGCGGGGGGAGGGGGAGGATGTAGGGCGTGGAGGCGGACATTGCCCTAGCCACAACGGGGCCCCTGTGTGACCGAGGTGGCTGGCAGGGCCAGATGTGGCCTAATAGTAACAACATTCCCATCCCTTGTTGTAAGAACTTGTGTGTGAATTCCTAACACTGATTGGTTCACTCTCTTATCCTCCACAGCCAGACCTGCTGCTGATAACTGCCGGGCGACACCTGTGCCACCACCCACCTGGTCCCACAGCACCCACAGGCATTGGAGGGCCTATAATGACCTCTTGCGGAGGCATGTGGTGGTGATGGAGAACATTGAGGGGACCATGGCAAAAATGCAGGAGACCATGGCCGAAAGAACCAGGGAGGAGGCTCGCTGGAATACTCGCCTGCTTGAGCACTTCCTACTGCAGTGGAGCACAATGTGTGCCACCGTCCAGAAGGCCCTGGCTGTGCCAGGTCCTCTCCTCCTGGGGACTCCTCCTTCCCATCCAGCTCCAGCTCCCTCTGGCCCCCCTTCCTCTCCCTCAGCCCCTGCCACCCCTCCAGCCCTGCCTAACCCCCTGCTAGAGCAGAGCCATCTGCAGCCCCGACTTGACCCCGAGGACGTCAGGGTCCACGGACAAGAGGTGGCAAAGCCTCGCAGCCCAGGTGATACCACCATTATCCTTAAGTTGTCTGTCCTTCCTCCCCCCCACCTCCAGGTTGACATCTCCCCTCCCTTTTCTCCCTCCAGGTTGAAATCCTCCCTCCTACCTGTCAGCCGACGGTCAGGGCAGTGCGTGTGTGTGTGTGTGTGTGTGTTTTCGAGAAAAGGTTTAACGTCCGTGTCTTTACTGCTAGGACCGGGGTCCCATCGCAGAGGGTAGCCAGCAGGCCAACAGACGCCCCTTTATAGGAAGAGCTTATTATACCTTAGATGTTAGCTGCTAGAACACAGGGTTCCTTCACAGTGGGCAGCCTGGGAAAGGCTAAAAGATGCCCCAACGGATCTCTCACCTGGGAATGACACAAATCCAAACGCCCAAGCTCTTCCTATGCCTGTCCTTTATGACTGGCTGAAGTTCTTTTAAATTGTGCTTGGTTCTCTTACAGCAACTGAAGGAGCCAGGTTAAAGCTTAAACAGTTACAGGTTTATTAAAGAAGCTTATAAAAGCATATGGTTACAATGGCTATTGCTCTATTTCTTAAATACTAGCAAATATATAGAGAGTGATCTTAAAAATGGTTACAGGAAAAAGGTAAAGATAGAAAATAGAAATAATGGTACCAAGTGACAGCTTAATCTTTAAAGAGCTCTAACACTATGTATATATATACTTAAGCAAAGGACCACATCCAGGTACAATTTTTACCCCTTTCTGTGCCTCTCGACTCCAGCGTGTCAGGCCAGGGCCGGTCTCTCAATTCCTAGGAAAGACGAATACGAGGTGGGCGTCCCCTTGGAACCTCGGGAGATCAAACACCTAACCTGACCAGCAGATAGATGGTAGATTGACACGCAGAGAAAATGTGCTGCTGGACCCATCTTTATACCCCTGGGGGCTCGTATCCTCTTTCTTATTTAAGAGACCAAATTGTACTGGTCCGTTTTGTGGCACCAGATCTTACAAGCAAGTTTCAAATAATTTACACTTGCAAGAGAGAGAACTAAATTGTGAGTACTAGACATTTTTTTACTGGGCGAGAGATTCCTCCCCCCGCGGACAGCTGTGTGTTTGTATCAATATGGGTTAAGTCAAGGACACTCCTTGGCAGCCTCTTGGTCAGCAATTGGCATATCTCTGTTTACAGCCATTCACGGTCACACAGCCTGGGCCTTCTTTTCTGTGTGCCCTGTATGCTCCAGGCAAGCAAAAATGGATGTTATGGGGGGGTTCCTGTCTGGCTACACTACCCCAGTTATAAACACAAGTTAATTGTTCAAAAAAAGTGTATTTTTAACAGTTGTTGAACAATTCTATGTTTTATAACAGTTCTAAATTCTAACGTTAATTGTTAATAAACATTATATTTTTTATATTTAACATGATGTGTGTGTCTTAACTGTTTGGAGGCTGATACAGGGATGGATTGTGGGAGGGAAGGTTTTGGGATGGGGGGCAGGCCCACAGGCCCCATTGGGGGACTTTGGGGAGTCATTGGGCTCCAGCTGAGAAGCAGAGCCTCCCAAATGTGGACTCCCACCTGATGGGCTTGGCAAATGGCAGCTGTCCGAGGCTGCGCAAACTGCCTCCCCTCCACTTCAGCCATTGGCCCCTAGCCTGAGAGGAAGGCTTCCCCTTTGCTCCTCACCAGGTTGTGGAGGACGCAACATGCTGCCACCACCTCTGGGATATTGTGTTCCCCCATGTCGAAGTGAGCGAGCAGGCACCTAAACCTCCCCTTCAGCCGGCCAAATGTGTATTCCACTTGTAAACGTGCTTGTGTCAGGTGCATGTTAAAGACTTCCCTGCTTGGGTTCAGATGCCCTGTGTATGACTTCATGAGCCAGGGCATGAGGTGGTATGCCACATCAGCCACAATGCAGACTGGCATCTCCACGTCCCCAACAGCAAAGGTTCACTGGGGGAAGAAGGTTCCAGCTTGCAGCCTTTCATAAAGGTGCGAATTCCGGAAGATCCGAGCACGGTGTGCCCAGCCCGACCACCCCACACAAATGTCCGTAAATAGTCCATGGTGGTCAACCAGGGCTTGCAGCACAATGGAGAAGTACCCTTTTCGGTTAATATAACGGGCTGCTCAATGGGGCGGTGCACGGATGGGAATGTGAGTTCCACCGAGCGTTCCTCCACAGTTTGGGGATCCCAGCCCAGCAAAACCGGCCATGATGGTGTCTAGGTCTCTGAGGCTGACAATCCTGTTCAGCAGCTCCAAGTTGATGGCCCTCGATGGTTGTCACCACCTGCAGAAATAGACACATACAAACACACACAATATGAAGTTAGAGGGGTTGCCCAAGTCCTTGGCAGGTACTACTCTTCACCTTCTCCCCCCCCTCTCCCACCCCAAGACCTCAAGAGTCTTCCCTCCTCCCCCGGTGATTGCTCTCAGCAGTACAGTGGAGTGAGGCCAGGAGTCTTCCTTCCCCCCCCCTCCGCCCTCTCCTGGTACAATCCCCCTACCCCTCATGGACTGGCATCCCCTCCCCCGAGGGACTTACCTCCATCAAAATGGCACCAACAGTAGATCTCCCCACACCAAACTGGTGTCCCACTGAGCGGTAGCTGTCAGGAGTGGCCACCTTCCAGAGGGCAATAGCTACCCTCTTTTCCAGCGGGATTGCAGGGCGCAGGTGGGTGTCCTGTCTCCAGCCTCCAAAATCGCCTCTCCGGGAAAAAGTTCAGAGGCAAGAACAGTGCTACTGCATCCTGAAATAGGGGCTCCAGCCTGCGTGCAGTATCCGGACCGGGCATTAACATCATGAAAGTCTCATGCAGTTGCAGCAGCATTTTAAGCACTGTGGAGTGGGGCCAGGGGCAGCTCTGGCTCCATGGCAAACAAAGGGATCAGAAAAACCTCCCCCCCCCCTAAAAAAAAAACCAAAAACAAAC